GCGTAGGGCTCATCAATTTCTTATTATAATTCTGGATTCTACTCAAATGCAGCCTACAGCCAGATTCTTTAACTTTGACTGAATTCTTCAGAATCATTAATATTCCTCTTATGTCTTCCAGGATTTCAGGTAATCATGCATATCCACCACCCAGGCCAGCAAATCTACTAAGTCCCTACAGACTTCCAACTGTGTTTGCTACCATGAGAACATCCAGTTCATGAAGTTAAAAACATATCTTTAAGCAGCTCATAAATTCTGGCTTCAAGTTTAAACTGATGGCAGATGCCAGAGTCAATAATCCCCTAAATTGATGTGATCTCAATTCCATATGGCCCTGTTAGCCCACCTGATTTTAAAGCACAAAACTCCTACACAGTTAATTACCTGAGCCAGGCCCATGGTTATAGGGGAAGCAAAGGGTCTTTAGTTCAGATACATATACGAACTCATTACTTTGCAGTTTGCAGGTTATCTCTGCACAATACTTGAAAATATTTGGAAGGAGTCAAGTCTGCGGATTCAATAATGAGAGTGTGTAATAAAATGACATTGAAAATGACATTCAGGGGTCCTACCTAGAGATAGTCTGGTTCGCTGGTTTGAGTTGTGGACACAGATTCTGGTGATTATGATCCAGGTGGTGCAAATATTACACTTTTGATAACACTGACTTCAGCCTTATGTTCTCATCTTGGTGGGTTTGGGAGACATCTAGCAACGGGGGCTGGTCACGATAGTCTTCTGGGGGAAGAAGCTTCAAGGAAGGCTGAATTGAGGAGCAGAATACTGAGAAAGAAGATAGAGATCCTAAAAATGTTTGGTTCATTTTGAAATATCACCACTGTATCCATACATAATAAGGAATTGCTCAGGGTTATAATCACATTCTAGTGAAAGTGACGGCTGAAATAATTAAGGGAATTGATTGTATGTCAATGAGGATAGTGTGACTTATGTTTTTGGTTATACTGAAATGAGGTTCTACTCAGTGCACTAATCAAGCTCGTATTCCTGGATCTGACTGGATTCTGTTCTCCACGCACCCTGCAGAGGTGGAGAACTTATGTTTGAAGTATAAACACTAAAGTTGGGGTCCTATTAAAAGAGTTAACCACAGGGAACAGTATAATTCTTCTTGTTAAGAATAAGGATAGATTTGGACTGTACACCTTGGCCTGCATTGTCAGACGCCAGTTGAGAGAAGTGGCCACCACATTCCAGGAGGAGGGCTCCAGCCATAGGTGGGCTCAATCCACCTCAAGACTGAGAAGTGGAGAACAAAAAGATGAGAAAACCAAGTGAATGCTCAAGAGTTGGTTGTCATTTCTTTTATATGTAACCCAATTACCTAGTAACTCAATTATGCCCTTGTTTGGTCATGCATTTATTCATATGTTCTTCATTCTTTCATTTGTTGATTCTATTAACATTTATTAAAGCTTCACTTTGTGCCAGGTACTGTACTAAATGGTGGAAATGAAACAATCGTTGTGGAATTTAGTGAGGTAAACAGGTAAGGACAGGTAATTGCAATACTGGATGGTAAGTGAAGTGACAAGGAAAGAGGGAATAGGGGAGCCTTGGGTCACAGAAAAAGGGAACCTTGCTCAGACTTGGGAGTGCAGAAAAGCATCCTGGTGGAAGGAGAATCTGAGCCCTAAAGATGAGTATTACTGATCAAGGAGTTGAAGTAGTAGTTTTGCAGACAAAGGGAGTAACTTGGAGCATCATGTAACTCCTGTTACATGAAACAAGAGAGAGCATGGTGTGAACAAGGACCTGCAGAGCCGACATGTGCACCTTGAACCTGGGAGTATGTGTGGGGAGGAATGAGGCTGTGGAGGCAAGCACAAAGAAAATGGAGCATCCCCAGGGTCTAGGGAATTTAGAGATGAATAAGGCAACTATTGTCCTCAGTAAGTTTATATTTGAAACTTGCCTTCCTGTTCCTTTTTTTTAAAAAAAGTAAATTTATAGACAAATTGGGAATATATATTGCCCAAACTCAATAGATTCCATCCATGATTTTAGATCAATACAGGCAAATGAATCATATATCTCATTGAGTGTTATTCTGTAACTAAACTTTGGCTAAGAAATATCAATAATGATGAAGTTCAAATAAGGTAATAACTAATATTTGAGCACTCTGATTTTGCTGTTTCTAATTGGAAACCAGCCACTTTTAGTCCTCCACCAGACTTCTCACCCACTAAAGAAAATGTGTGCAGAGGAGGCCCATTTTAGATAATCCTTGAATGCTATTCTCAATTCTTGCAGCCCTGTCTATTGTTGCAGGTTCTCCCTTCAGAGTACTGGGCTTTCTCCCTCCTGCTTTGTATAGATAGGACTTGACAGCCTCTCTCCTTTGAACTGTACTCACATCTCTTGCTTCCTGCCACAGGGATTCCCAGCTATTGCTGTGGGAACCCACTTGGTTCTCACACATGTGCAACCTAGAAATGCAAGAGAGCTGGTGCCCCAAGCATTACCCTTGAACCAATGTTTCGTAAGATTCATTAGATGGTCCTGTTGGGTTTTACAGAGATAGGATGTACTCTGCAGGTAGAGCCTATTATAGTAAAGTCAGCCAAGCAACATTTTTAGCTCCTGGTTCCATTACAAAGTAGTTATAAGATATGGGAAAGATAATACCTTTATGGCTTAGTACCTCTCTTTTCTGGCTGGAACACAGGGATGTGGATGATTGTAACAATGTATCTGCATAGTGTTTCTTAGAATGGTGTCTATAACACTTTCACTGGTGTTTAGAGTTAAGTCCTTTGCATAACCACATATGAGGGTGTCTGGAAATCTAAAGGGTGTGCAAATTAAAAAATCAGCCTGCTAGGAGTTCATGGATGCTGGTAGAAGTCACAGGACCCCTGGGTCAGAGATGAAGACAGTTTATTATTCACAGCAACAGCAATAGCTGAAGTATTAGCATTTTTGTGCTGATTCCTTTGGCCTAATTGCTAGAGGGGGATGCAAACATTGCCAGTTGACACCTATCAACTGTAATGGGTTGTATTACAGGGAAGAAACTCTGCACTTAGGGAACTCAAATCTTTTACAGTGGGAAGCAAGATGCCTGGCCTTTGCCCTGGTGGAAGAAATTATCTTTATTAATCCGGACAGTAAGCAAACGTGCTCTTTTCTTCAGAGGGAGAAATCTCCATCTTCCAAGGCTATAAAAGCAAACTTACCCTTGGTTCCAGAGGGAGACACTAAGGCTGCTCATTACACAAACATACTTGAAAAAATAATCTGGAATTGAGGGAAGGATGTATAGAAATTAAAGAAACTCATGGAATATTATCTCTCAGGGGCTCTTCAGAAATGTTGTATGAAGAGTATGCACAGTAGTGCATTTGCCATAGGGACTTATGGCGATTGCCTAGGAAGGGAGAATTTTGGGTGCTACAAAATATAAGTAATCATACTGACGTTACCCTTGCATCAGGTTAGGAAAATATCTTTCGCCTTGTTCACTAAAACACCAGTTGCACAGCCTACTGTAGGGAAATGCTATATCTATAAGTAAATAGATGTAGACATAAGTAGAGCTAAGTATAGATACATAGATATATAGTTGAACTCTTGTTCTCAGTAGAAATGATACAGATGAGTTATTTTGTTATTGTCTCCTGTATTTTAAGCAGTATTTACAGGTATTGTATTTTATTTGTAGTAAGTTATGGAAGTTATAAAATATCAAGATTAGACGACATATGGAAAGTGGTTTTTGTTCTCTCTAGAAATACTCCCTTTAGAGACAAAAGCCAAATAGATACACAAGCCAATGCATTTGGGTTTTTTGTCATTAAAGGGACAATGGTCCTCATAAAGAAAGATACTGCAACATGACAAGTTTACATGGTAATGACTTCACAAGTCCCTCTGCAAAGAGGTATATGAACATTATTTTAGTAATACAGAATGGGGGAAAGGGAATATGTAGGCATTTTAAGGATTATTGTACATAGGGTCTGAGTTGACCTTGATACCAGGAACTGAAGCACAATAATGTCCTATTGTTAGAATGGATGCACGTGAGGTACAAGGAATAAATGGAGTTCTAGCTCAGTCAGGCTCTCAGCACATCACCAGTTCCCCAGGTTCACATGTCAGTCATTATCCTGGGTCTCCAAATGTATAATTAGAATGGACATACTATACTAGTTAGAAGCTTCTGGCTTGAAAAAGGAATGGGATGCCTTTTCAGCTTCTTTTTTTCCCTTGTGGTACAACTGATATGCCAGCTTGGTGTTGACACCCTGCAAGGATGGGATGCCATCCACCAGGACGTGTTAAATACCCTAAATCAATGATGATGACATGATGTTGTTTTCCCAGTAAGTGGAATACATGGGTCTAGGACAGGGATCCTCAAACTTTTTAAACAGGGGGCCAGTTCACTGTCCCTCAGACCATTGGAGAGTGTGCACTGTGGGCCTGGGACTAGTCGGCTGCTAAGCAGGACAGGCAGCGGAGGCAAAAAACACCCAGAGGGCCGGATAAATGTGCTAGGCAGCCCACATGTGGCCCTTGGGCTGTAGTTTGAGGATGCCTGCTCTAGGAACTAGGTGGTGAAGTGGCCCAGCTTACCACCATCCCCATAACCCACTTGGTTTCTCTTCAATTTTAGGCTCTGTGGGTTCTAGAGGTCCTCGTTCCCAGAAAGGAATCCTTTCACCGGGAGACACAATAAAAGTCCTGTTAAACTTTAAGCTATTACTGTTGTCTGATCATTTTAGGCTTCTTACACGAAAAGATGAGTGGGCAAGGAAAGCAGACACCATGTCAGGGTAGCTGACACACATCACTGGAGGAAGAAGGTAGCTGTTTCACCCTGGTGGCAGGGAGGATTATGTTTGGCATCGCTGGTCCCCTAGTGTATTTCCTGGTACTCCCCTCCCCTGTTGTGATGTGATCATAATGGACAAATGAGCAACCATGACCCAAGGACTACCTGGCCACCAGGAGCTGAGACCCCTCGGAGATGAGGGTTTGGGTCACCACAACAGGTAAACAGCCTAGACCAACAGAGGTGCAAGCTGAGAGTGTGCAGAATCTAGAATGGGGAGTAAAGGCATTTGAGTATGAATATCACTTGCAGCCTTGAGATATGCCAGTATACCTTCTGTACACACGTCTCAGTGTCTGTATCCAGAAAAACTGATCAAAGACAACATCCTTATCTATTTCCCTGTAGGCCAGTTTGGACAACCTGAACTAACATCAATATGTTGCCTTTAGTTTAGTATTTACTTAGGGTGTAATGAAGATAAGAGAGTTCAGGTAAGAGAGAATGCAGATATTATATAACACAATATTTTCCCATAATAGATGACTAAATAAAAGGAAAGAAAAGTGCATGTTCTCCCTTTGTAACAGTTATAAAAGAAGAACTACAAGAGGGTACTCTTCTTTTCCTGAGGTTCTATTGTGTGCAGAAACTTGAAAGGGAAAGTCCACTTCAACTTGGACATGGATTACTTTGTCTCTTAGCATATTAGAGCATAATTGGGAATGCAAGAATGAAAGTGAAATTGTCAAAGTCTGCTTCTCTTTCAATTTCCTTGCTATTGGATTTTATTCCAGGCTGGCTCTCTCAGGCCTGTGAAACTAATGAGCTGTGTTCTCCTTCTGACTCAGTGTAGGCCACACGCTTTTCTGGTCAGTTTAGAATGAGAGCATTGAGAGAAAGAGTTACAAATAATCACCTGTCTTGTGTTCTTGCGAATTAAGAAAATCTGGATCCAAACCCTGTTTTTACTCAATTCTGAACGATTTCAAATTGAAGCCTATTTTTACTAGCATGAAGAGCAGCCTTGAAATCCTGATACTTGACTGAATTTATTTATGGATTAGATATTCTCTCACTATGGCAATGTGGTGAAGTGGCCGGCTGCCCAGGCCTACTTATTTTTCCCCTGCTTTCAGGAAGTAGCGCAACGATGGTTAACAGACATGGCTGCAGAAAGCTTTGCTTTTTAAAATTCCTGTGACTATATTGAATTGTATGCCAAGCATATACATGTGTATAACTAAAAATGTGAGAAGCATGTATTTTTCCAGTCACATTTAATTGCATCAACATGGAGTTCATATTGGCCTTTGCAGCAACGGCTAATGAGCCATATGCGGAAGAATCCAGATGTTTGGATTATATGCTCTTCCAGCCCATTATACAAACATCCATTTATATGACAATGTCTTGTCTCATGTGGAAAGGAGAGCTGCATCACCAGTAAGGAAGTAAAATAGATGGCTAATTACACTGTTGTTATTTGCAAATGGGGATTTTCCTGCTAAAAGTGTTCAATAGGAAATGGTAGGGTTGGGGGAACGATATATGGCTCATGTTTTCATAGAGCCCTTCTATTTGTCATTAGTTACATGACCATGTGTCTGTTTTAGTAACTCCAATCACAGTCACACACACGCAATCACGTCACTAAAACATGGAAGAATAGAGTGATTGCTTTAACAGAGACATAAAGTGCTAAGGGCAAAGAGTGATTGACAGCTCACTACCTTTGAGGAGAGCAGGGACAGCTTTCTAATGGGGTTACTGAGGCTAGATGTTGAAAGACTGGGTTTTGATAGTTGCAGATTGGGGAGAGGATAATTGTAAGTGGACAGAATTTAATGAACCAGAGACAGATGGGGAGGAAAAGGCAAAGTATTTTAAATATTTGCTGTATTCCACTAACTATCCAAATATTTAGGTTCTTCTTTCTGAAAGAACAGGATGAGGCATTTCAACAAATCAGGTCGAACTTATGTAATAATATCAGGCTGTAAGGCCCAGTGTGCTTTAGTGGGATGTCACCATTTTATTTACCCTAACAACACTAAAACACCCACATTCCTCTGTAGGGGACTGACATATATTTTCCTAGTTTAAGAATTAAATTTAGTAATGTACATGCTCTGCCCAGAGCATTTAAAAGTAATATGTTCCGGACAAGGCCCCTGTTGCCTTGAGGCATAACAAAAACAAGGTGTTGCCTAGAGGCATAACAAAGGACCTGAGTTGAAAGTAAGCAAGAGCTACCCCACCCCATGGCATTGGGGGTCTCGAGGCCACATGATAAACGTGTTGTTCCTGTGATTGCTGCATACACCCCATAAGATGGCTGGTTAGTCAATGATGGATAAGACCCCTCGAGGGAGGGGCGACCTAAGCCATGCACAGCTGCCAGGGTTCAGCCAAAGATGTTAGGGATCACCATAAGAAAAGCTGGGGATGAGAAATGCCCCCTGTGACTTGCCTTGCACATCCTTGCTAATCTCGGTTGATGGTCTATGCCTAGAGCCTAGAGCAACCACCTGGAAACCTTGAGCCAGGGGATATCTGCTTCCCTAAGGCTACGTATTCTGGAATGTATGGCCATTGCTGCAATGCCTGGGTGGCTATGTACAAGGAACTAACTTTAATTTTTTAGAGTATCAAAATAAAACTGACCCAATGTATTATTACTCGAGTCAACCATCTGTATGTGTGTCTGTGTTTGTGTTTTGTGTTCTGTGTTCATCCTCCATCCTGTAAATGGGCCACGACTTTCCTCTCCCCAAGTCTCCACCTTATTTGACACTTAGTCCAAAAAATAGTTAAGACAGTCATGACCATGGGCATGATCAAGAATAACATGAATGTAGGGATCTCTGAATGCTACAGAGAGAGATGAAATTTAGAAATATTACTATCTGGGAGGGCCTTGGAAGCAGAGCAGTTCTCAGTCACTCTTCCTATTTCCATTGGAGCAAAAATCAGGGAAGCAATATTGATTTAGCTCTTGGAGTTGTTAATGTTTGAGCAGAAAGCAAGATAGGTTGGACTTACAGATGAGCAGTATAGGTTCCTCTTTAGCCACAACTATCAGTACTTTTTTTAATTTGCTCTTTTTACCATCATAATCACTCTCAGGACTCCAACTTTGACTTCAAGGTAAAAGTTATCTAAACTTATATCCTTGACCATCTCTCCCTGCAGAACCCCCATCTCCTGTTGCAAGATACTTGCTGGTACCTCAAACTCAGCAGATCAAATTGTAGCTCCTCATTTCACAGCTCATCCTTTCCCAACCCCAATTTCCATCTTGGGGGCCTCTCCCAACCCCAATTTCCATCTTGGGGGCCAGGACCTTATTACTTGTTCTCCGTGGAAAAAGCTTTGGCCTCATATTCAACACCTCTCTCTTTTGAACTTTGAAAATTGATTGGTCTCATACAATCCCTTTCAGTTCTACCCTTGAAATGATTCATGAATCCATCCCTTCTTTTTTATTCCAATCACTGATGGCAGAGTCTGGAACTTCAATTCATTTTAAGAATAAGAAAAATGGAACATTTTCTTATTCACTTGCTTTTTCTTATTCACAGCAAGTGAAGCTGATTCACTTGCACCAAACCACACAAATGTCACCTTGTATAATTTGAGTTTGAATCCCCATCTATGGAAGAATTCCCTCCATCATTCCACTACCTTCTCATAAGCAAACGGATGAGACCAGTAGTTCTCCACTCTGGCTGCATATGATAATCACTTTCAGGTGCTTTTAAGGAGTACTGATGCCCCAAGTCTAACCCCCAGAATGCATGATATAATGCATAGTTAATCTGAGGATGGAGGGCTGGAATCAATTCTTTTTCATGCTCCCAGGGTGATTCTAAATTTTTGCACATGCTGAGAACTTCTGGCTTAGGCCTTAATGTTCCGCAATTTGTTTTTTATTCTTTATATCTGAGAAAGTCTATTTATTTTGGACTTTTTTAGGGAGCTTTTACACGAAATTCACAAAGAATTAAATCTGATACAATTTGAATGACACAGGGTAACTTCTTTATGATTTTGCATAATAAGGCAAGATGTTTCTTATTAAATCAGCTTTATTAAGTGGGGTTGATAATTTACGATCATAAAATTAATCATGAATAAGAAAACCAAACATTAGTAGTGTAAAAGGTAAGAAGCTTTTTCCATTTGCTATGCCATAACCTTGGGATAATTTACCAGAAGGTTGGCTCATCACTGGAGAATTCTTGAGACAATGGAAAGACAGTTGACCAGGAGCTTGAGCTGGTCTTGGCTCCAATCCATGTAACCCTTGGTTCAGAAGTGACTCTTTAGCTTATTGCATTCATTTTAAGGGTGCTTCTGTCTCTAGATTAAAGTGTTTGGAAAGTATACTGTGATGTTTTGCATTTGAAAGTGTAGCTCTAATGACAATATTTTCTTCTATGAGGATTGGGTCCCATGAATATGCCTTATCGCACATGAAATTTACATGTCCCCCCAAAGTATCTTTTCTTCATGTGACTTCTTACCACCATTCTTATCTCTTGATCTTCTTTATTTTCTAGATATTCTCATACTTCATTTTCTGTCTTTATTTGTATAATTTTTCCTTTCTCTCTATCTCAGGCTTGCCAGAGATTTTGTGATGTCACCTATGAGTCCTATTCATTCTCAGTGTGCTCTGTAGCCCAAACAAGGTAGATTGTCTCTGGACTTAGACATCAAATTCTGTTTTACAGCTGACATATTAAGGGAGGCACACAACTGAGATTGAGATTTTAGGAACAACTTGCATAAAATTAAAATTTAACAAACTGATATTATGCCTCAAAACAATGTGGTATAAACTAACCTTTTAAAGAAAATCAATTCAATGTGCCATCTTTTAAAGAGAAACCCTAAAGGAAATATGTTTATCCAATAATAAAAAATTAAGATATTATCTAGGAGATACGTAATAAAATGAAATAAGGCAAGCAAGAGCTTTATTTTTGATATAAAAATGGTATGGCTCTTCAGTATGAAAACTCAAATGTTATAACTGGACAATAAATTTGAATTGCACAGTTCTTTGCATGCATTAGCCCATTTAACACCTGCAGTTGGCTTTATTGTTTTTATTTTGCATTCAAACCTTTGAGACTTTGCAAAAAGGCAGAAGAGTTGTGGCCTCACTCTGAAGAAAATGAGGTCCTATGTTTTCTTTTTTTCTTTTCTAAAGGAGGGAAAACCTATGTGCTATTTTGAAGTCTTCCAGCCTCACTGAATCCACTGAAGGCTTGCTAAGAATCCTGAGAGCAGAGAATCCTGCTTCCAGGTGGTGGGATCTGTGCTTTCTTACCACTATACGTGGACTCATGGATCTTTCTCCCCAACTTTCTTCCCTGTTTGTACATCTGTCATAACCTCCCCTTACTTCCCTGTCATTTAATTCCTGCACCCTTTGAGGTTTCCAGATACATTTTATGATTTATGACACATAACAGGCTTGACATATTACTTGATTAAAATTTATATCCTACAAAAGCTCTATTTTTCATCATTGTTTTTGTTGTTACTATTGCCCTTTTTTTTTTAAAGCTAGATCGATGGTGCTGAGATTAGCTTTGACCACTGGTTGTAAAGTTCCTGCTGAAGAAACCATTAATTAAATACAATTTCAGACCACAAAGTATCAGAAGTATTAGAAGTATATTTGTAACATGCCATCAAAAAGATTACACACACATAACTTTGGCTGTGTTTTGTTTGTTTCAGACTTTTGGGATAGAACTATTTCCTGGAAGCCTTTTTTTGAAATCACTTGGTTTTTATCATTGCATAGCATCCATAAATGATACATTGCACTATTTTTTTTAATCCTTTGGAAATGGGTCACAAACGAGCAGTTCATTTTGTCCTCTTTAGCTATGCTTGCCTTGAATTAATGTGGAGGTAGGGTTGAAGGATGAAAGAAAAATCAGCCACCTCCTCAGAGTGTGCATTGAGTTATTAGACAATTTTGTTCCTTCTAAATGTATTGCTCTCATTTTTGAGGTCCACAGGAAAGAAGGCTAAAACATCTCACAGGTTGTACGTGGCTGGTAATTGAAAATTGTACACAGAGCAGATGTCATCTGATGAGATAGCTTTGTAGAGAACGTGGTACTTAGTTTGGAAATTATAGTTTGGTTTAGAATTTGGATAGGTATACAGGCAAGAAAGAAAGAACGGTAGAATACGGCAGTGAATACAAAGTGAGAGGTAGACAGGCCTTGGAAATTGTTTACCTGGAGTGTGAGATCCAGTTCACTTGAAGCATGAGACATGTAGGAACAGGTTGCTTTGAGAGCTGAAGTTGTAAAAGCAGCTATTGATGACTGTGTTCCTGTCTGTTGCTGGGGATGATTGGTATCTCTCCGCTAATGGAGATTTAGGAAAGGATTTCTGGTATGCAATCCAAAAGTTGAAAGAGTTCATCTGGAATTTGCAGATTATCTGGTCCAACTTTCTCTCTTCAGAGATGGAAGTGGCATTGTGTACTGATTAAGAACAGGGTGTTGAAATTAAGGGGGAGGGAAACAGATTTCTAATATTGACTCCATGATTTACTAGCTCTGTGAACTTGGATGGGTTACCTAACGTTCCTAAGCTTCATTTTCCACATCTGCAAAACAGAAATAAAAGATTTGTTGTGAAAATAAGAAAAATGATGCGTGCAGTGCTTAGCTTTGTGGCTGGAATATAGTAAATGCTCAAACACATTTGCTATTATTATTACTGGTATTGTTGTTATTATCATGACTTCAATGCTAAAGTCTCATATCCCCTTGCTCTGTTCTTACAGGAATTGCATAAGTTGACTAGAATCAGCAATCATCTGTCCTGATCTCAGGACAATCTGGTGTATACAAAGCCCAAGACGTGGAAACTCAGTGAGAAGTCATCAGTCAGCATCCTGTAAGAACTGGCCACCTGTGCCACACTTTCTAGCGTAATTTCTGTTTTGGATCTGGCTACCTCACTCTGGCTTCCAGAGGTGGGAATGATGGGAGTAACACAGGCTGCAAGAATTCATCCCAAACTGTATCAGCTCTTTATTCCCCATTTTGAATCTTTCTGACATCAGTATTTTCTATAACTCTTAAGCAGCTTTAAATATAAAGGAATAAGGAAAACACTTTTTATTTCTTTCCAACCATTAAAATACTTTTATTAAGTCATCCAATGAGCACTTTCTAAGGGAAAAAATAGTTTATGTGTGGTTTGGATGCTAAGCATTGACTCAGCGTCAGGCCTAGGAAGGGGAAGGCCAAGCTATGCCTGCTGACACACGAGTACTAATAACGGAAAAAATAAAGACTGTCCTGAGTTTGCTAAACGAAGCCATACGCTTGGAAAAGCACCATACGCCAAACTCTTATATTCTCCTTTTTGTTTTGTCAAGATCATTCTCTTCATTGCCCACCAGCATCATGTTTTTTTCCCTCCAATACACAAACGTTCCCAGGTTTCACTGTTGCCATAGTCTTCTCCCAAGTGCTCTATATTTTTTAACGGTGCTAGTCATAGTTAGATAATGTTAAGCAATAGTTGAGAGAGCAAACCACTTGAAATGACTTTTTAGGCTAGGAATTTCATAGAGACTATATGTCGTTGTTCTTCCTACTTCAGGGATTAATTACTTTTACAATACAAACAATGACTGCAATATAAGCTTCGAGAGACTGACTCACTAAGGAAACAAGACAGGTTTGGAAAGCGGATCTCTTGCCATTGACGCACTCTGGAGAACTCTTTAAAAAACGGTAATCTGAGAAATTTAATTGCCATGTAACAGTTCACATACTGATACTATCAGTAAGTGGACCATAATTAAATATTGTATGACTGTATGACAGTTTCAAAAGGGTTGCATTTCACGACCAGGTGTTTTGATTTCTTGAAATGAAAGAAAAGAAAAGGAAATCAGCTTTCAGCTATTTGGTGCAGTTTATCTCCCCAGGGAAGTTACTGTGCAGACCTACAAAAAACGAATTAAAGATGAGAAGTCAAATTTAGGGGCTGAAAAAAGCAAGGAAGAAACGTTTATCTTCTATGTACCACTTTTGTGATGTTGGATCCCTTCATCTTTTTGTATCTCATTTTTTTTTTTTCTATTTCTAACATAGGAGGGGCTGTTCCAGGCCAGTTCTCCTGGAGGAATCACCTACAATCCCTTGAGAAGCCATTGCAGATGGAAGCTACAAGAGGAGAGGAACCCAAGTGGACTTCAGCAAGAGCAAAGCTCTGTTATGTGTTGGACTGTTATTGATTTCAAACAAAGTATTCTTCAGAAAACTATATTTTCAAACCAATGGACCTCTAGATTTCTTGATCCTTCGCAGCATTAACATCCTTTGAATCAATATCTTCAATGACTATTTAAAAGTATCTAAGCGAAAGCAAAGAAAGAGGAAGAAGAAAGTAAAACAATTGATTCTGTTGGCAATCTTTAAAGAAGGTCCTCTTTCATTCTTTTTTCTTCAAATATTATTTGTTTACTTTTATTATATGGAGAGCAATATGTATTAGCTGATAAAAGCTAAAAGAAAGATTACATAAGCATATACATTCTTTTACAAATCTGCTTCCTTTGGTAGCTCTTCACTTTTAGTGATAAGTTGCTGATGTAAGCACCCATTCTTTTATTTCATCATTTATTCTGTTACCTCAACAGTCATTTGTGGCCCCTTTTCCTATGTCAATATTAGGATCATTCTAGCAGCCAAGAGGTTCTATTGGCTAGGAAACAATAAAAGCTAAGACTTATGTTCACAGATGCTTGCATACATGCAAATGTCAAAAGAATACTTAGACCCTCACCTAACTCACCTAACTTTCCTTGCTAGTCTCAGTGCATAGTTATTATTGATAGGCAATTGGTGTGTGTGTGTGTGTGTGAGAGAGAGAGAGAGAGAGAGAGAGAGAGAGAGAGAGAGAGAGAGAGAGATGCAAGAAAGCAGACAAAATGAGAGGTAACTTAGTGTGCTGGAAAGTCGTGTAATTTCATGCTTTGTGTTGCATAGATGATGTATTGTAGGAGTAGCATTATTGTGAAACTTTGTTCAGTCAGTTTTTCTCCAAGTAAGTTTGCTACAGCATTTCCATTCCAGTGTTAAGTATATTTTTCACAACCTTGTCTAAGAGGAAACTCTGACAGATGATGATGAAAACACTAAATCCATTCACTTCATGTGAACACATAGAAGGCTTCTCAGTGGAGCTTGTGCCGTCAGAATCTGTCTCACTGTACCTCCGATGCCAAGAGAGAACTTGATGCTGTCAAGTTGTTGACAACTGCCTTAGTCCGATTTGTGCTTCTGTAAAGGAATAACACAGACTGGGTTATTTATAATGAACAGAAATTTATTTCTGAAAGTTCTAGAGGCTGGGAAGTCCAAGAGTGAGAAGTCAGCATCTGTCAAGGGCTTTCCTACTGAGTCGTCCTATGGCAGAAGACAAGGGCAAGAGAGCAAGAGGGGACAATTTTCACCATTTTATGATAACACCAACTTTAGACATAAGGTGGAGACCTCTTGGTTTAATCACCTTTGAAAGGTCCCATCTCTTAATACTGTTACAATGGCAATTAAATTTCAACATGAGTTCTGGAGAGGGGACAACATTCAAACTATAATAGCAACTGTCTGTCAAAGGTTTCAAGAAAAAGGAAATTTACTCTTATTTGTGCTACCATTTTTAGCTTTACTCATTCATACTTTAGTTATTTTTATTAAACTCAACTGAACGTATCCATTCTGAGAACATCATGGTTTCCCACTTGGAGTCTGGCTGGTCTAATCCTTAAAGAAGACACAATAAACATGTAAGCATATTTTTTTTTTTTTTCGAACTCCTGACCTCGAGCAATCCGCCTGCCTCGGCCTCCCAGAGAGCTAGGATTACAGGCGTGAGCCACCGCGCCCAGCCAGTGTAAGCATATTTTAAAATGGACAGTTTACACATTAGTTAATAATGTGAATGTTAATTAGTTACTACTAAAAAAATAAGCCACTACATTTTATTTTCTTTCAACAATCTGTATAAGAACTTAGACAATATGTTAATATAGTATAAAATTTAGTTCAGTTAGCAACAAACAGGGGACAAATTGTTTTAAAGATCACAGCATCTGATGGCTATGAAACGAATGGGAAGTTTTGAGAACAACACCAGCATGGTGTTGATTGGTTACATGTGGCTTTGAGCTTTTCTGGCACTGGGAAGGTCACTACTGTATGTAGTTTACATACAATTAGTGTGCAATGCCAGATTTCAGCTCCCTTCTTTCTTTATCTTAAGTGCACTTGGTGTTGTGACTCAGGAGTGAGATATTGAACCTTTGGCAAACAGGATTGCCTAATTTCTAGTTGTCTACCTAGCAATGCAAACAGTTTAAAAAAAGCTGTTTCTTTTGCAGTTAAGAAGACTAAAACAGATTATCTTCCAGGTTGAAGAAATCACACTCTTTTACATAAGACATTGGTTATTTTGTGTTTTTACACATGTAAAATATTTTTCCTTTAATGTGTATGTTTTCCATAAAAGGTACAATTTTCTACTGTATTCCTGGTAAGACAATGTATTTAAAGATGGCATTTAAAAAAGAACAAAAAACAATATTCATGAGTGGACAACTAAAATGTGGTGTATGCTCACAATGGAATATTACTCAATCCTAAGAAACAACAGTGAGCTAGCACCGTTTATGCTATCCTGGATTAAGCTTAAGCCTGTAATACAAAGCGGGATGACACAAGATCTGGAAAATGGGCTACACATCTACTCGCCATCAAATTGGTACTGACTGATTAAAACTATGGTGCCCAAAAAACGCTAGTGTTCAACAGGGAATTGGGGGGGGAGACCCACATCTTAAGGAAATGGCGAGCATTATGGGGGGGGGAAGGGATTACCTCTATCCCTTTTGAAGGAGAGGCAAAGATATACATTGTAACCAAAATGTCTGAAAAAAAATCTGTAATCGGTAAGTGAGCAGGGGAAAGGGGGGAGGAGGGGAAGGGTATGTACTTACACGTTGGGTTCAGTGTGCACCACCTGGAGGCGGGACACGCTAGAAGCTCTGGCATAGCGGGGTGGGGGAGGAGGGGCAGGAGCAAGATATGTAACCCTAACAATATTTGTATCCCCATAATATGAGGTATTCTAAGGTTATCTGTATATAATGAAGTGGACTTGGTGAATTTAGCTGAATGTAATGTAGTAGTTCCTTCTCAACACCTAAGTTTATATTTCTGAAATGCTTATGTGAGAAATTTATCATCCACTGGGGAAAAGTAGAGTTGGGGAAATGAGATCATAAATGAATCTATCAAAACTCTGATATTTATGCTTATGTTTATTAAAGTGGAACCACAAAAACAGCCCACCAAATAATGAGAATATCAATACCTCACAGGTTTCTTCATTTGGTAATTAATAGCATAGAGTGGATAGATACTAACTTATCATCCTTTTATCACAAGTAATTTTTTAATATCTCTTCTCTCTTTTTTCCATATTTTAAACATAGTGCTTATAAATTTATTTTGTTTGATATTGCTAACATACAATGTAGAAGTTTCCCCGTGTCTGTTTGCCACCTAAATTTTCAAGACTCTTATGATTTTATGACTTAAGTTTATCTTTCATCAGTGGGGTTTCACCCTATTTCTGCAGACAGTCATGTGCATGCCAGAGTTGGAAAACAAACTTGAAGTAATTTTTATTTCTTAACCTCCATTGCCCAGTGCAGGTTCAGTGATGCTAATTCTGAACATAAGTGCAAAACAAAGCCCCTTTCCATACATGATAGCTTCAGGGATGTTTTTACCCATAAACCAAAAGGTTTACTTGGAAGGATTGGGACAATTCTCTCTCAGCTCCCTTTCTCTTTCCTACAATTTCATTGCATTGAATGAATGCAATGAAACTAGCCTCTCTTTTTTCTCTACCCTATGATTTATTGATGCTTTCTTTTCCCAACTTCTAGTTTCCTATTTCTCTAATTATCTACAGCAGGAAGAAGCATAAATTCATGTGCATGGAAACTAAAATTTCCCTTAGGATATAATGTACAGAGTTAATCCATCTGTACTAGAATATTAGAATTTATGATTGGGCATGAGTAACTATTCTGTACATTTCTAGTGTAGAATAATCTGTGCTTTTGCATGTGATCTTGCCTATTCCCAGAGCAATCTTTTTATTCTTCACCATCTGGGAAATGTGTATTCATCCCCGAAAACCCAAATCAAATGCCATTTCTTTTATGGAAACTTTTCCAGCTCCATCAGCAGAATTAGTCAGCTCCTCTGTGGCTGTATAGCTCTTTGGTGTCCTTTTGTTACAGTGAGAACGTTTTCTTTTCCATTCCTACTATGTGCATGGTGTTGCATTGGTACATGTTTGTATTAGTACATTCTAGTATTACATATTTGCATGTCTACCTGATGTGATTGGCTTTGAACTTTTCCAGAACAATAATGTTTTTACTTCTTATACCTTTCTGAGGGCTTAGCATAATGGTATTTGGCCTAACCAGACATGGTAAGAATAGATGGTTGTTGAAAGAATGATGTGTGAGTATTTGAATAAGTATATTAAATGACTTGGTAAGACTAATCAGTTGCTGGATGTCAAAACTAATTTACTGTATACATTTTTATCCTTGGCATTTTATTAGCTGGGTTGCAAATTCTATGAAAACAGAAACTGTGTCTCTCATTTCCATCATTATACTGCCAGTTCCAGGTACTTGGTAGGCACTTACTGGATATTTTCAGAGTTTATGAATAAAGAATAAAAGTACAACAATGCGAGATAGAAATAATTCAATCTTCAACCTCGTTTTTTTTTTTTTTTTTTTTTTAACTTGAAGACAAGCACATTCAATCTGATTTTTTTTTTCAGCCCAGGCTAATTCTCAGTTCTATGTCACTTTTATAAGTAGCTGGGCATGAAAATGGTAGGAGTAGGGGTTGATGGTGGACACCTAACCTATTCAGAGTCAATCAGAAGACTTTTGTCTGGAAAATTCTCCTCAGTATGTAAAAAGCAAGTGGTTTGAAACAAAGGTGAACCCTTGCATGGAACTGATTTTCACATTCAAAAACTGTCTCACAACCATATCCATCAATTGATTCTCTGACAAATCATTGCTTTGCCTTTTATTTCCATAATTTGTTTGTTTTTGAATGAAAAAGGGTAGGCAGCTGA